ACAGTAATCATCAATCAATTTAAAATCATTCCAAGACCCCAAAATTGCTATTTTTTTTTTAAATTAAAACTAAAAATCAATGATAGGAATCAGAAAAAAATGGCTTTTCTTCACAAATTCTTCGAGCTTGACATTTTTCGAAATGGAGAATTTGGTTTCACGTGAGGTTGTCTTCCAAAAACTCTCTGAAAGGCCAACAACTCGAGTTGACAATCAACAACACCATTTAAGGAAAATACCAATCACAAATTTTGGTGTTGCCAAGAATGAAAAAAAATAATAAAAAAAATATAGATTTTTCAAAAAAAAAAGGCACACACAAACACACATATTGTCTCCGATATACACCGGATTATCCGCGATTTGATCGGAATGCGAATAGCAAAAAAATTATGAATCGAAAGCCCGTTACTCATCACATTGAGAGCTTCTGGAATACTAGATTTTCGAAAAAAAACACACACATCATCTACGATCGCCTTGGTGATGGAAAAAAACAATAAATAATGGTCTTAAGACGAAGAAAAAAATTGAAAAAAAAGTGATGTTGAGTGTAGGCCGAAAACAAGGCGAATCGCGACATTTTGCACAACTATTCAAATTTTTAATAAAATTCTTCGCAGAATTTTTTGAAAACACTTTTGTGTTGAGCAAAATGCAAAAAAATGTGGAGTTCACATTTTTATGCGATATAAAATTGCGATTACCTTCTACAGTATGCCAGATTCGCGGAAAGACCTCATAGTCGGCGTGACCGAATTGGATTGTGCTCAAAAAAAAGTCAAAAGAACAATTCGACGATACAAATTCCAGACGAGATTTGTGCAAACAGATTAGTCGTCTGAAAATTGATGAAAGTGAGTTTCACAAGAGCCAACCTCCCAAAGGTTTTTATAAGTTGATTAGCCTTTTTTGGGCAACTTGTAGTTTTCATTAAATTTTGAAAAACTGAAAAGTAATTTTCTTTCAAAAAAAACGCCATAAATATTTACAGGGTTGAAGAATGTCTTTTTTGCATATGCGCCTTTAAAAATCTACAGTACGTTTTTCGCATATCCCTGTAGAAGGTATTAGAAGTTTATCGAATTCGCTCGCAAGTCCGAAAAGCCAAAAAGAGGATTGTCGTTAATCTGGGTGTTTTCGCAAGCAAAAAAAAACATCATGCATTTTGTTAATAGCATGCCTTAAAAGTCAACCCCCTAATTTGGACAAGTACAGGGTAATGAGGGATTTGCCTTCGGCTCTCGGAGCATTCTATCGAATCATAATGGGGTGGACGAGAAGGAAAAAAAACACAGCTTGGTTGTCGTCGATCATAGACATGAAGAAAATAAGGAAATATGTCATGATGAGGTATTTCAAATCCACATTCATTCGCGGTGACAACCATTCGAGAAGGCCTCGTCATCGCTAATTATTTCAATCAAAAAAGCATTGCGTGAAAATATTGAGAAAGTGGCGAGAAAAGAGAAAAAAAAACGAATGAGCGGTTTGGATGAAATGAGTGCGATTCGAGACCACTCGGCCCCCTACCTAATTAGAGGTTCGCCAGAAGAACAAACAAATAAACAAACAAACAGAAATTCCAGCTTTGAACTAGGTCGTTGAGTGTCCGATAGCAAAATCAAATCTTAGTCATTCAATTATTTTTTTGAATTTGATTTATACTGACCGAAAAAAAGTGATGTGATGAACAATTTGGAGAAGGAAATGGGCAAATTGAAGAGCTTCAGAATACTGGAAAAATTAGAAAAACACAACTCGATTCTAACTAATTAGCTGGCAAGTAGATCAAAATGTTGAAATTGGATATTACAAAAATGATTGAAAAACAGGAGAGAGTGATTTAGTGTTCTTACAGGTCTTAAGATACGGTAGCAATAGTTCAACGGGAGTTTTTTCATTAAAATTTTCACGAAAGACTTTGCAAAAACGAATTAGTATGATTGATCTTCAAATGTCGAATTTATGGCTTTTGTTGTTCTACCCTGGCATGCTTGGTATGGGGAGGGGAGGCCGACGAAAGATCCGTCGAGCTCGACGTGTTTCGAACTGCTCGAACTCCATTTATGGTATTTTTTACGAAATTCGGCAGGAAAATGGTCTGATTTTGAAATCAAAAAAATTTTGCAAGAATATCCCAAAGCCACGCCCATTAGAATAGAAGAATCCTAATATTCATATTTTTAAATACATAAAATTTCATATAAGGAAAAATGCGCTGTTTTTAGCATAGTTAAAACGATTTCTCAAAAATGGACTGCATTTAAGCAGTCAAGACATTTCTGGCATGAAAAATGTTTGTTCTAGACGGAGCAGTCAAGAAAAAAAAAATCAAAGAGTTATAATCCAGCGAACACTTTAGACGAAGACACATGATGATGCGTGTGTCCCAAGAGAATCGCCGAGTGACAAAAACGAATCAACATGATGGTCAAGATCAGCTGTTTAGTCAGCGGCGGCTACTCGGCGAAAATATGAAATTGGAAAATTATGGATGACGAGGAAAAAAATACAAATGGTCCTGTGGCGAAGCAACGTTTTGTGGGAGGACATTGCCAACAAATAAACATTTTTTGCAAAGTGTTTTGCGGTTTTTGGTGAAGCTTAGCCGCAAGGAAACAAAATGAATTGAGGAAGGGGGGGGGGCGGAAAACGGATGGACGGGACCAACGAGGTGAGAAGATGAAGAAGCAGAAAACAACTGAATTCGATTGTAATTGTCATTTCATTTGTATGTTGGCATTTGGCAAAATTCTCACTCAAAACGCTCATTATCAATTTTCCACATAAAAAAAAATAGTAAAACCAAAAATTAAATTTATTTAAAATTTCGAATATTTTTGAAATTGTTTAATTTTTGTTGAAAATAATAATTAAAAATTTTTAGTTGTTTTTTTTCAGGAAGTTTTTAAGAAATCATTTTAAATGAAATATTTGTGAAGTTTCGTCAAAACGGAAACCCCGTTTTAAGATATTTTTTTCTTCTTCGCTCTTCAACATTTTTGAAGGGAGGCGGGGCCTTCAAATTAGCCAAATTAGTGTAGATTTAAATTTATCATTGACTGAATATTAAATGCGCGTACGGTATAATGCAATGTACGCAATCTACTTCTCGACTTCGAAAAAAAAAACATTATTACTGAAATATTTGCATGTGAAAAATCTATAATAATTAGAAATCATTTCCACAATTCACTTATATCGCTATCCTACTACTTTACTATTTCTTTAATAATAAAAATGCTGTTCGACGTCAATGAAGGGCTTCCTACATTCAAACAAAGCAACAATTCATGATATTAATGAATTATTAATAAAGGCTTTTAACATTTTCAGATTTAGAAGGCCGAAAACCAGTTGAAGGAAAAAAAGATCGAAGGCCATAAAAATAGACTTTTATTGTTTCAAAATTGCGCTTTTGCGGACATTTTGAAAGAAAAAACCCACTTTCGAAAACTCGAATAATGGCGGCGTACTGCGTCGAGTTCTGAAATCCACAAACTTTGTTTATTTTTTTTTTAGAAAATAAACGAAAATTTGGAGAATATTCTGAAAAAAATTAGAAAATGTCTGCATTTGTTAGTGACGGTGTTTGCGTACTACAATTGAAGCAGCGTGCGAGCAAGTTTGATTTCGATTGTTTTCAGGTGTAATGAAAAGAATCGGCATGTAAAAAACAGAAAGAGGCAATTTTGATGTGCCGAATGAAAAAAAAAACGACGGAAGCACGTTTGACAACTCGGAAATGCTCGAATGGCTATGAAGAAGAATTGAAATGACACAAGAATTGGCAGGAGACGAAATGCACCTTATCACCCGTTCGTTGACGACAATTTTTTTTAGTTTTTTGGTTTTTTTGTACAAAATTGAACAAACATTTGAGCCGCGCAGCCGATATGAATTTCGGTTAACTCGAGTGAGAACGAGAGATTGCCGAAATATAGTGCAGCCCACAATATAATATTTAACCTTTCTATTTATTCATCTAGTTATTTACTTCGCAAGATATTATAACAAGTCGTTGACTGATGGCAATCCGAGAATGGAAAAACCTTCTTATTCGTCTGAATAAAGACAAGGGATTCGCAAAAATGTTTGGATTTTCGACGCAAATCCTCACTGTAGACCTCCTTGTTTTTTTTTTCTGTTCGATCAACAAATGTTGTTTTCAATTGAATTTTATTTATGTGAAAAGCAGCACGGAAAAACAATTCTTTGTAGAAATATCTGTTGTCTACGTCTACAGCAACAAATATCTGCAAAAGAGAATATATTAAAATTCAAATTCGAAATAAATAATATTGTCGAAGACAGAAATTGTCGGAAATTCTACTAATTTTTTTGTTTCTTTGCGCGAAATGAACAATTTCTTACATGCGCCTTTGATACTGTAGTTTGACATATGTTTGATACGCAGCCAAATCGCACACAATTCAACAATTTTCGTCAGCTTCATGAATTAGCACGAAGAACAAATTAAATTTGAAAAAAAAATTCGCGTCATATTTTCGGTTTAAGTGTGTTCACGTTGACGCGAAATTACAGAGTTTCTTTTCCAATCTCGGAAGATTGAGAAAAGTGGATATAGTGAATATCTAGAAGGCCAAGAAAAAAAAAACATTATTGTTTTCAGTTTTTTTCGGCATCGCCTTGTTGTAAAATATCCAACTAATACAATCTATATAATACAATTTATTGAATATACAAAATTATTGACTGAACAAATTAAGTAAGTAAAAACCCGGAGCACTGGGCAATAAATACACGCTAAATCAACAAAACAGGCAGAAAAAGTGGAAAAAATTCAAAGAAAACGGAAAATTCAGTAGGGCACAACTCAAGTGATGAACTTCAAGGGCAATACGATTTAGAATTAACAACTAGCGAATTTTGTTTTCTAGAATTGAAATAAGTTTCCTAAAAGGAAATAAAAAGAAGAATAACCGGGAAAACAAGACTTAGAGGGTAAAGCTTGTAACAAACTAAGCGACTTCAAATTACCAAAAATAGAAAAATATTGCAGAGAGGACGATGAAGGTATATTTATTTGTGGCCCTGGCAGGTGAACTCGAAAACTGATCACCGTACTTGTCAAGAAGATCAAGAATAACGCCATTCGTCCACCCAAAGCCAGTCTAAATCACGGGAAATTTCAAATCTCTAAAACAAAAGACCTCAAGTTCGATACCTGAACTTCATATTCTCCACCACCTCCTGCAGACGGCTCATCGGTATGAAGTGTCACATTATACTTCTCAAACATCGCATGAGTTCGAATGAACGATTGATAATTGACAGTCAGCCAAGAGGTCGCCATCCGCTGAGCGACCTGAACATCAGCATTAAATCAACAAAGAGACGGAACAAAAATGAACCTGCATGAGCTTCGGATCGCCGGTCGTCCGGAATCCCTCAATAACCATGTGAATCATTGGCGGCCACGCGTTCTCCTTATCCCATTGCTGTTCACTTCCCATCGCAAGAGACGTTGGCAGCCCTTTTTTGAATTTCATCACACCTTCTCTCTAAAACCAAACATATTTGAGAAAAATTCGAAGAATTTTGGTACCTCCAAATAATCGTGAACTCTATGCGGAATAACATCGTCATCATCAAAACATTTCGCATAAAGCGGAACCGCATTTGAGACATAATAAATATTCGAATGTTTCTGAATAAATCTCCTCAATTTTTGTTTCACAACTTCCAATTTCGCAAACCTTCCGCTCGACATCATAATCGTACCATATACCATCAGTTTCATTCCAATGAAGTTCACGCATTTCACGTTTCGCCCATTCGTATCTCTTCTCATAAATTTTCACTTTTTCGAAATCTCCCGAAATCTCATAAAGACTCGCAAGAGTTCTCGCATTCGCACAAAGAAACGCATTGAGATCAACAGGAACAATGCTCCAAGTTCTAAAAAAAAAAGAGAAAGTTCAAATTTTATGGCAAAAGCCAGTCACGCGGTCGTTATCAGTTTTGAAATATAAAAATTTCGAGAAAAAAACTGTTGATAATCCATCAAAAGCACGTATTGATAAGCACGTATTTTCTAGGTAACAAATTGTTTGGAAAGTAGATCGAACTTTGATTTTTTGACCTTCTACATGTTTATAAATTTTTAACTTCAGAATTCTCTAGAATCTCGTCTTTGAAACACCAAATTTGTCGTTCAATGAATAAAAACATGCGGTTATTCAGAGATCGGACCTTGTCTTTGGGAATATAGCAATATTTAGTTAGCTATTTCGAATTACCTAATAGTCTTCATCTTATGCCTCTCATCACCATCCTGCGAGAACCAGCGAGTCGAAAAGTCCCATCCAGTTTCAGCTGCCGACGCCACTTCGGACCACATGCGAATCTTCTCCTCTGAAATAATCATTCCGTCATTGTCCTTTTCATTTTGATCGTCCAATGATTCGATTATACTCCAGAAACCATTCAATCTTATCATTTCTTTCGAAACGCCACTCTTCAAAAACAATTTATGCGTTTTTGAATGGGTTTTCACATTTCCTTCGAACCCATTAAAATTGACGTAACCAAAAACACGTGACATTCGTTAAGTTGGTAAATGTTCGGGTGTGGTTATTGTCGAAATCTGCCGACTAGCACGTAACTCATCTTCGTCATACCTTCACTAGTCAGCTTCTCAGCCAATTCTCGATCTTCTCGATAAGATTCCGGACGTGGAACTTTGAGTTTCGCTTTGTACTGATAATAAGGGAAAACCTCATTTCCATCTTTATCCTTGAACCATTCACATCGGTTCTTCACCCAAAACTCGTACTCTTTCTCAAGTGTTGGTAGAATTTGCTGTAAAAATTCGAACTTATGTCGATTTTCGACAATTTTCAACTACCAATATGAATTCGAGATCACCGGTACTCAAATAATAGTCATATGCCATCGGAATAAGAAGCGGCGGCTGAGATCTTGTCAAATAGTAGACCCTTCCACCGTTCGGCACGAATCCGTGGCTGCAAAAAACCCGCAATACGATTCATGTGATTCGCATGAGATTATCATCAATCAACAACCCCAAATATCGAAGAAAAGTGGCACGATGCAACAGAAAACACACTTACTTATCAACCATATACGCGAGATTTTTAATGACACCACGAGCAGTTTCATACATTTCTGAGAATATGAGACCTTTGAGAATCCAGAATGAATCCCTAAAAATTTTAAGAATAAATAATGATAAATACAAAAATTGGCCAAATACCAATAATAGAATTCTCGGAATCGGCCACCAGGAATAATGAAAGGATGAGGGACGTATAATAGGGAATAACGATCCTGATTGACTCGAACGTCATCTCGAACCTGAAATATCATTTTTTTTAGTTTTTACCAGATTTAAGCCGTCAATTCACAAATTTCTCAAATTTTCCATCAAAATTACGTAAAATGATTCAATAGCGAAAACCTGTTCTAATTTTCTAATTTCTGGTTTCTGATTAGCGCAAAATGTGGTATTTGTATTTTGTACCTCATCTTCTCATTATCATTTGAGCTTTTCCCCCGAACCTCTCGTGCACGAGAATCACATGTGACACGAATCATACTTCCTCTATTTACTTTCATCAATTTCTCAATGCTCTTGAAAATCGACTAAAAACAAAAACGATAAACGCTTCTGTTGTTGTTTTTTTCCATTATTTTCGAATATTTTGAATTCACCGAAATCAATTATCAAAATCAGACGTCAATTGATCTATGGACGTAGAAAATCACGAGAAGAGGAGATGGGATGAGCGAAAATCGGAGAGAGAGAGAGAGCGACATGTCGAACTTTTTGTAATTTTCGTCAGACAACGTACCCTTCTGCACAAATCCTTCCAAATTCTGTGAAGATGAAGAGCCCATCTACGATGGTGATAATCATGGATATTGAGAAAATTGGATGGGAAATCCACCCAGTCAGTTGGGAACCATTCGATGAGCTCGGTTCCTGGCGGATTAAAGTGCGAATTGACAAACTCCGTGAGAACTCCAACATCCGATGCGCTATCGCCGAGATCATCAAAATGGCGTAGCGTTGTTACTGAAATGACGAAATGTTTTGCGTGACCCCGTCACATTCTTTAGTCAATTTTTTCGTCTTATCATATTAGCATTCAATTTGAGGGGACCCCACTAATCTGGTAGATCGCTCGTTTGCCCGTCACAAGGCATTGTCGTCGCTATCGGAACAAAAACCATACAATTTTTTTCAAAAATTTTTAGTTTTGTCTGGGACAGTATTCGGAAACGACTACTTTTTTTCCGAGGGCGAATCTAATGAGAGAGGACATTTGTCGTGATTAATGGGGAATGTTGCGAATGGTGTGATTTTGCTTTGCAAAAACTTACTCGGATCATATTTGAGCGACATGTCGACGAAATGTTTCGAATCGGGGAACATGTGCGAGTCCTGAACGGATTGTAGAATCGGTCCATTGCAATATATTTGACTGAAATTGGGCGAAACGTTTGTTTTGAAAACATCGCCGATGCCAATTTAATGTTTGAAAACATACAACACACATTGAACTTATGGACCTCTTCGTATTATTGTAAAATTACAAACGAAATACTTACGCTAGAAGATTGAGTACCGTATAAAGCATTTCCTAGAACACCAAATATCGGGTTTGGCGATGCTCAAGTGAATATCAACTAATCAGTCAATAGGAAATGATTCCTTTCATGACAATCGTTGAAGGGGGTCGTCCGGTCGCTACTTTTTTTTTGGAGAACTGAACGGCACCTCCTTTTTATCGCGGTTTGGGGCGTATTTGAATCGCCCCGCAAGTTTGGACGTCACTTGAATTGGGTATGGGCGCACTCGCGAGAAGGAAAGACGACGATGTGTGTGAGGGGACGGCGAAAAATAAATACGAAAAACGGCGAGGAGCGTGCGGTCGGTGTGCGATGAGACTATGCGGCGGTTGCAAGACGCAGGTCTTGTGGCGATGCGCCACGCAAAATAACTGTGCCTTTAGCTGAATTTCTGCCGCCCGGTGAAGCTCGGCCACGTTTTTTACGTTTTTTTCATGGTTTTAAACCGTCTTTCTTAAAACTTCGCATATCAAAAGTAATTTTAATATTTTTAAACATCATTTTCTGATGTATAACATATAAAAACTACATTAATTCGAGAACTGCCGCAAAATAAATTTTCCTATTTATTGCTCTTATTTTCCGCTCGAAACTTTTGTTTTATATTATTATATGTGTCCGATTGATTTTATTGTTTAAAACAATGTAAAATAGAAGGTTGTTTAAATTTCAGAAATGGCTTCTCAAGTTGTCCCCGTATTGAACAAGCTCTTCGACGATTATCAGAAGACGACACCACAAAAGCTTAAGATTATTGATGCCTATATGACTTACATTCTTTTCACAGGAATCTTCCAGGTAAAATAATTTTCGAATTTAACTTTCATGAAAATATTATTTCAGTTCGCTTACTGCCTTCTCGTCGGAACTTTCCCCTTCAACTCGTTCCTATCTGGTTTTATTTCGACCGTCGCTTCGTTTGTTCTTGCATGTATATTTTGATTTTTCTTAGATGTTATTTTTCAACGCTTTATTTCAGCATGCTTACGGATGCAGGTTAACAAGGAAAACCGATCAGAATTCAAGGAGGTCTCAACCGAGAGAGCTTTCGCCGATTTCATCTTCGCCAGTCTAATTCTTCATCTGGTCGTCGTCAATTTCTTGGGCTAATCTTCATGTACATTCCACCAAAGCTTTTAATTGTTCCGCAGAAGCTGGGTTGTTATTTGTTTCAGTCTATTTATAAATAATTTATTCGGGATTTCAACGATTATATTTTTCGTAGATCGTATTGCGATGAAGAATATATCGATAAATTCGAAAAAAAAATGGTTTAATTATTCAAACATTGTTCAGGTTTAAACATGATTTATATGAAGCCAGCCCGTTTTTTGAAGAACGCCTTCACCAATCCTAACTAGTGAGTATTTTTTAAAGTAATATTTAGAAAGAGAAGTCTAACGCATTCCACTTACTATCGCAATAATAATAATAATAACTCAAGTCGTTAATTCAGCTTATTTTTCGATGCGCTAATTCAAATTTGAATTTAAACAGTGGGATTTTGTGTTATCACAGTTTATCTGCAAAACAAATTGAGGGATCGATTTTTATTATGGTGATAATTAATATTTGTCTAGAATTCGTTGGTGTGATGGACATTTGTCACGATCCTGCTGTGTAGACGAGTATTTAAATTTTGTAATGATATCACGTGTAGGGTTTTTTGAGATGGTCATTAAAAACTGAAACAAACCAAATTCACCATTCTGAAAGCGTTAGTTAATCATGCTTATCAAATTAAGATTTCACTACAAGAATCACAGGATCTTTATATTTCCGCGTTGTTATTGAATGCTACTTTTGCAAAAACAATTTACTTTCGGAGTCAGTCAAGAGAACTAACATATTCTTGTATAATTTTTGAGTATTGAATTGAAAAGGGATAATAAAAATAAGAAATACGAAGTTTTTATCCTAAATTTTAAGGAATGGCATAGTTAAAAAACAAAAAACAACTTTAAAAAATGTAAACAACACTATGAAACGATGCATGAATTTTTTTCCCGCACATACTTGGTTTTTATGAACCCATCCGAACTTTTCCTTAAATTTCAGCTACAAGTCGTACGGAGCCTACGGTGGATCGGCATTCCTCTTGGCCATCTATTTCTGCGAGTGGAAGACCGTCGGCCAGTACATTCCATTGTGGAACAAGCGCTACGTCGAGTAATTTTGGCGACAAATCACCATGTAAACTAGAATAATTAGTCTTATTTGCACAATTTTCTTCTTCATACGAATTATAGAAAAATGGTGATAAATTCATTATTCGAACTCATAAATAGTGTTTTGATAATTGCGAAATTGCGCAGTTTTGACGAGCATGACTCATGGAAATAACGGTTGAAAGTTCTCTCGCCATTCAATAGTATTTCACGATGCGAAAATAGCTGTTGTTGTTATGGCGGTCGAGAAATTGTTGCGGATGTTGAGACGCAGACACGCAGATTCGGTCGCCCGTCGTTTTCTGTCAGAATTGTTTCGTTTTTCCATTGAAGAATGTTTTCGTTTTTGTGGAAAGTGCCCGACACGGCTGTTCCGGATGCAATATTCGCTGAAGCCTATGCATGTTTGGAGCAGGGACTTTGTTATGATGAAGTCAACGATTACGTGAGCTCTCAATTTGTGTATTTGATTTTTGCAAATGATCTCATTTTTCAGGAAAATACGTTGGCGATGTACGAACGAGGATTTGAGTTGATCAAGGAAGGGGAGAAAATGAAAAATGCGAAAAAGAGCGGTTTGTACAATCATTTGATGGAAGCGAAAAATAGCGTTGAGCACAGGTATGATTTAATTGAAAATAATAATAAAACAAATGTAATTTCGGCCTGAAAAAAAAAACTTTTTTAAATGTAAAGCCTCTGAAATTTGTATATTTCTAATTATAACATATATTTTCGAAATTTAACAAAAGTCGATCCTTTGTTTATTTGATTTAAGTAAAACAAACACGAATTCGATCTTTATTTCTTTCAAATTTCAGAATTAAAGTTCTTCGTAAAGAAGGTCCTCGTAAATTGAACGAAAATAAAGAGAAGAATACACTGGAAAATGTCGAAAACGAGGTATTTCGATTATTTCAGTTTCTCGTTTCATTTGCCATTTTCTCATTTCTAGAAACAAGCAATTCGTTCGCAACTCGATTCATTTGGAACCCAAGAGGCGGATTTGATCTATTTTTTGCCCGATGGCGTTCAGCTTTTCACTATTGACGGCGATAAGACGACAGCTCCAACAGCTCCGACGTCGCTTCAGATTCTGAAGTTTGTGCCTCCGAATCCTGAATTCGATGAGGGAACGCAGGATGCCGAGGCTTTCATTCAAGTGGGCCCTTGGGTTTATCCATTGATGAAAGAGAAGACACCGATTCTGAAGAATGAATTTGGAGCCTATGTTGTCCCAAATCCCACACCAGATAGGCCAAGTAAGAAAATTAAAGCTCGAAAAGGGATATTGTTCGTTTAATTTCAGACATGATGGTAGCTATACTGATATCTCAAGACGTTGAGCCTCGTTTGATCGAAGAACTCCAATTGGTGCTGGGTGAATTTGCGGATCTTCGAATTCAGGAAGAGCCAAGCAAAGAATTGACGAAGGAGGAAAAGTCGAGAATAAGCAGAAAAATTTCGGAATTTCTCATCAACAGTAGGAATTTGTTTTGTGGTTAAATAAAGTTGAAAATCAAATTTCAGGTGGCCAGAAAATTGCTTGGGGCGTCGAAACTACGACCGTGAAAGTTGTTAGCAAAGTGGAAGACAACGGAGAAAAGTTTGTCGTTTTTTTTTTCAACAAATTTTGTGCTAATTTTCCAAATTCAGATACCGTAGTAAATTGGAATCGACCGACAAACCGATGCAAGTGTCTCCGCTCGTCAAAGGAAGTGTTGTCTATATGCATAAGGGGTCGAAAACCGTGGCGAAGTGCACTCGCTACCTGCGTAAGTCGATGTCGCATGAATTCCGAACAAAACGGTTTTTAAGTTGATAAGATTGGCGATATGGGTGTATCGGTTGGAAAGAAATTGGCTGACAGTGCGCAAAGGAAATTTGGGGATGGAAAAGCTGGAGGATTGGTGTCTGGAACGATAGGTGAGAATTCAAACAATCGATTTTATAATAATCGTTGAATTATAGAGATTCTTGGTGGCGGAATTACGGGAATTAGTACTGTTTGGATATCGTTAGAAGAAGGAAGCAAGACTTTGTGCAGGAGTATTGCAAATCAAACCGTTCAGAATGTTAAAATCAAGTGAGTAATCGAAATTGAAGAAAATAACACGAAATGCCTTTTTTTGCTTGTTTATTTTCGGAAACTTTAAATTCTTAAATATGTAGAGTTCTTTTAAAACCCTTGTAATCGTTTCAGATATGGAGATGAAGCTTCTGAAACCACTCATCATGCCTTATTTGCTGCTGGACATGGAACCCTTGCCGCTTCTCAATTATGGGATTTGGGACCACGAAGTGTTGCTGGTCGAATGGCGCGAAAAGCGGGAATTCAATTGGTCAGCGACTTGCATCGCAGCAAACGAGAACCGGGAGAACTTGAAGCGAAAAAAGCTTTATAAAGAATTCACATATTAGATTTTTTGTCGATGCCGGTGTTTGTTTTACTCTGTTTTACCAATTTTTAAAAAATAAATTTTAATAAACGGTTATTCTATATGATACTTTTTGTTTTCATTTTCGCATTTCATTTGCTATTCCAATACTTTAAAACAATTTAATAAAATTTGTCGAAATTCCGAATAGATTCCAGAATGGTTTCAACTTCAATAAAGAAAATTAGGTAATCTTATATTAATTGAACTGCGCTCATGTTTTGCCATTTAGGGAAGACGTGAAACAGCGAAAGCGAAAATTTGAGGAAATAAAAAATGAGGAACTCGAGGGTAACATTTTTTCAGGAATTATTTACAGTAAACACTGCACATCAGTCGACACAAGACCTAGTTGCGTGTGCCTTTAAATATTTATCCAACTCTTTGTGCATTAGGCAGAAATTGAGATTAACATTCTGGACAGTTGAATTTCGTGAACGACTTCTTTGAAGAAAATGACAATTTTTCGAAGAAAATTGAATGTTTTAGTGAAAAAAGAAGAAGAAGATTCTGATGAGGATGTCGAAGAGGAAGAAGACGAGGATGAAGAAGAGATTGAGGATGAAGAAGAAATAGATGATGAGGAAGAGGATGAGGAGGTCGAAGAAGAACAAGCTGATGGTGACGTTAAACAAGAGGTGAAAGAAGAGAATTCTGATAACGAAGATGAGGAAATTCGAACAGAGGATCCTGAAGCGAAACAGAAGAAATCTGGGGTAAACGGAAATCGTCATGAAAACTCTGTATAAATAGATTTCACTTCAGGTTGTCTATTTCACAATGATTCCACCGAAATACAATGTTAAACGAATGCGCGAATATTTCGAAAAACGATTCCCAGGGCAGATTGGCCGAATTTATCTAATGGTATTATTATTTTTTAATGTTCTCATATTATTTGAAAATGCAGAGAAACAAGCATTCAAAATCGATTGATACGAGATATTCCGAAGGGTGGATGGAGTTGAAACGGAAAAAAATCGCGAAGATGATTGCTAAAAATCTTGATAATACACCAATTGGCGGAAAAAGTCGCGATTACGTTTCGAGCATGTTTTGGAATATTCGATATTTATCTGGGTAATAGATTTCAAAAAAAATGTAAAAGAAATTCATAATTTTAGATTCAAATGGGTTCATTTGATGGAGCAATTGCAGTTTGAAAAAGAAGTCGAGAAGCGAAGAATGAATGTTGAAATTGCGCAGGTATGAATTTTAATTTTATTTTTTCAAAAAAATGTTAATAACGTTTCAATTTTTGAAAAAATCGATACCAAATTTAAGTATACTCTGTTTTTTTGCCTGAAAATCTTATTTTCAATTCTATCTTTTATGAAACACATTAAAACTTTAAAATTTATCAAAGGCGCATGGGATATTTTCTTTGAATGAAAATAAAGCAATTTCACATAGCCGGTATAAGGGCTTCGAAGCCCTAAGAAATGGATAGCGTTAGTACAATTTTTGAAATTGCAATCACAAATTTATTTTGTCGCTTCTGTAGCAAATTATTTTGCCCCTCAAAATGAGAAAATTGCAGGCTCGTCGTGTTGCTGCTCATTTCGAAGAGCAAATCGAAAAAGGAAAACACCTGAGAAAACTTGAGGAAAAAGTGAAGGCACAGGGCGGAAAATGGGCGAAATTCGAACGCGATGTTCAACAGAAGCAAGTTGTTGGAAAAAAGGCGAAGAAAGAGAGAAGCAAGCCGGTGACGACAGAAAATTCCGAACTCATGAATATGATCTTCCGATAATCCTTGTCACTGTTGTTGATTTGAATCATAATTGTTACTTTTTGTTGTTATTGTTATCTATAAAGTCAAATTGGTTGAATAGGTCCAAAAGGGCGGCACAACGAATTTTTGAGCTGGCTACTTTTTTTTGACACTTTTTTTTCATTGGAAATTGTTTTCTCAGATTTGATATTCGTTTTGTAGAAATTGAGGAATACCATAGTCCGACCGTTTAGCCACAGTTGCTCTCGATGGTTGATGACTAATGCACAAATTATCCATTTGATCGAAAATTTCGCTGAGCAAATATTGAGCAAAACCCGAAACTATTGTGTTTGAATTGCAAACAACAAAAAATACTCGAAGAGAAATGAAATGGAAGTGTTTTGTTTGAACTTGGCACGCTGAACTCTGGAGAAAATTGACAACCGACCAATCATTTTTCTTCTATTCAATAGCCAAAAAAATCGATTTGAAGAAATAGTAACGTATAGGCAAATAAAACTTAGGTTTGACATTTTTCTTGAAATGTGAGTGCAATTATTTTAAATTTCAATCTGGAAAGTTTAAAGAAAATGAAATTCATATGTGCTAAATGAAATGTGTGTAAAATTGCGTCAACGTGTAGACACTGTACTAGACAGCGAAAACTGGGTATAAAAAATATCCCCTTTCAACGTTTTCTATAGTCGGCGTCCGGCGACTGCTGTACGCGGATAGATTTACGTGCATGCGCCTTGAAAAGGTCTCGCCACGCGTGAACGCTTTTGCTGTTTTCACTTGAACTGCTTCATTTTTCTTGATGAGTTTCGCATTTCTTGGAATTTCTAATGTCGTTCTATTGAAAAATTATCGAACCGACTCATAAAATTTGAAATAACCAGTTAGTCCTTGCGGGACCATTTCGAAAGACGCATTCCCGTAAATCTACCCGCGTACAGCAGTCGCCCCGGACACCAACTATACTTTGAATTACATTTTATTGAAAGAAATGAGTATGAAGCAACGATGAATGAAAGAATTTACTGCCGTAGCATCTTTATTACACTTTATTATTTATTTAAATGGCTATCTAAATTAGTATTCAAAATTTTTACATTTGTCCTAAAGCGGTGTTAACGAAACAATACGCTAAATATGCAAAAAAAAATCAAAATTCTAAGGAACAATCGAGGGATGTTCCTTTAAATCAAATCATAAATAAAGACTCGTTTGAATAGCTTGGCTAGAAACTACAAAAATCTGAAAACCTTCAGAATAATCCAGCACATAAAACGAACTATAAATTCTCTAGTTCGACTATTTTTGAATGCAGTGGGGTAAAAGTGACTCACTTTTGTTATCTCCAATTTAAATAATCCGAAAAGTTTTTTTTTTCGGTTACACGTGTTTTTCAACAAATACAAGTAGTAGAGACGCATTTGTGACTTGTGTCGAGCAACACAAAAATATGATCTCCGTCTCCGTTTGTATGTTTGCCCTTCCGCGCCGCGTCTTTTTGTGGTAGCCAGCGACAATTGTAAGCCGCACTCTATAAAAACCCTCATACTTTGTCAAATTTTCTATTTGGATTCCAGATTTTTTTTGTTGAAAATCTAACAGTCATTTTAGCAATGAAAGAAACTACTACCAATCAGGTACGTCCATATTCAAAGATATTGAAACATTTCGCATGTTGCGTTCAGTGCGGAATTCCTTTGAAATCTGATTCGCTTGATAGTCAGGAAGCTGATTTGGTCTTCTCTATTCCACACGGAGTTCAGCTTTTCACTATTGATGGTGACAAGACAACCGCTCCCACCGATCCGACTTCCCTTCAGCTTCTCAAACTTAATTCCGAATTTGATGATGAAGACCAGAAAGTTTGTGCTTTCATTCAAGTGGGCCCTTGGGTTTATCCGTTGATGAAAGAGAAGACACCGATTCTGAAGAATGAATTTGGAGCCTATGTGATGCCGAATCCAACTCCAGATAGGCCAAGTAATCACTCGGACGCATCTCGAATTCTGTTCATAGAATTATAGACATGATGGCAGCAATTCTGGTTTCTGAAGAAGTCGATGATGAGCTGAAACAGGATCTTCAGAATTACCTGAAAGAATTTGCGAATTTGCGGATTCAAGATGAATCGAGCAACGAGTTCAATGAGGACGAGAAGGTGCGGCTCAGCCGCAAAATTTCGCAATTCTTCATCACAAGTTCGTTTTCCGCGAATGCAATTTCGAATTTGTAAGGTTCTTCGTTTAGAAGGGCAAAAGATTGCTTCTGGAGTCGAGAACAGATTGACAGAAGCGGCAAACAAGGTGCAGAATAAAGGCGAAGCGTGAGTCAATATTCGGTTCAAAAAATATCGGTATAGTATAAAATATCGGTATATTTCTGAAAAAAAAAACGCGGCTACAACAATTTGTCGTTGCAAGACCTTCAAGCCAGGTTCACACGTATTTTTTCGAGTTTTCTCATTTTTTTGGAATTTTGCATGCGATGATATCCGCTTATAATGATACTGAGTAGTTTACAAAAGATTCGTCTGACGACGTAAAATATTATCTGAAAAAGACTATTAAATTATATTTTTAACATAATTTGCATTTCAAAGGAGCATGATGCGATAATATGTTGCGGGTCTTGTCGCGTACGATTTTTTAGAAACAATTTAATATATATTTGTTACTAGTGTCAGTTTGAAATAGAAAATAAAATAATCTCAAATAATTTCTGCATCATGGTTTCTATTACAAGAATTCCATTGGTTTTAGCGAAAAATAGTGTTTTTTTTTTTTAATTTTTCATTTTTATGAACACAGAATTTCAGATATCGGAGCAACGCGGAGCCCGCTGAGCAACCGACGCAAGTGTCTCCAATCGTCAAAGAAGGGGTGGTTTATATGCACAAGGGCACGAAAACAGTGGCGAAATTCACCAATTTCATTTGTATCATTTCTCGAATCACAAAATGTTGGCTAACATCGGAATTTCAGTGGAAAAAGTAGGCGATGTGGCAAACGCGATTGGCGACAAATTGGCGGCTGGTGTACAAAAAACATACAAAGATGGCAAACCGCCACAACTTGTAGCTGACACCATTGGTTGAGACATTATCGCGAAGCAGTGTAATCGCAGAATTCATGATTTCAGAGATCCTTGGAGGCGGTTTAACGGGATTGGGAATGGTATTCATGGCATTGGAGCATAATGGAAAAGTATTAGGAAGAAGTATTGTGAACGAGACAGTTGAAAGTGTGAAACTCAAGTAAGTCGGAAATGGTCCGCAGATGAAATTGATTTCTTTTTTTTTTTGAAATAAAAATGCGAAAAATTAATTTATATTCGATTTTCTTGCTCTGAAAATATTCGTGGCTTGAAATTGAAATGAAAAATTTCAATGTCATTTCAAAGAATACATTTTGTTGAAGTCGTGCAATTTCAGAAAATTGGCTAAATGCCAAAAAATTTTAAAAGAGAAAGAAAATTTCTTTGCGGTAAATTGGCTAAATGCCGAAATCACATTTTTTACGGGCTTATGTATAGGTTAAAGGAGCACACCGCGCATCGGGACCTCTTTTTAAATTTTTTTAAATCAGTTGCGCGACTTCGACATTGGTTCAAGATATATTTTTTGAAATGAAATTGAAATTTTTCAATTCAATTTCGAGCCACGAATATTTTCAGAGTAAGTAAATAGAACATAAATTAATTTTTTACATTTTTATTTCAAAAAAACTTATTTTTGGCACCGTCGGCAGAGGCCACTCGTTTTTTTTTCTTGCAATGGTAATATTAAAGTTTGAGAAGAAGATGAGAGCACCCGTCGGTTTTTCTTATGAGTTCGACATTTTCGCGATGTTCTAACTTCATTCAAAATCGAAAATTGAAACATTTTGTGGCATGCAAAAAAAGAGGCCGTTTTGAAAAACAAATGTTGGAAAATCGAGCCTTTTATAATATTTGAAGAATCCATTGAAATGCAACTGCAAATGCGTTTTTTAGATATGGAGATGAGGCATCCGAAACGACGAAACACGCGCTCTCGTCGGCAAGTCATTGAGCTCGTGCTGGAATTCAAGCTGTTCTATTGACACCACATCACATTCCGAAAAGGGTTGTTGGAACGACGACGAGTCAAATGGTCGTCGATTTGTATCGCGATCAGAAACTCGCGGAAGAGCTTCAGAAAAAGAAGACGACTTGAATTTGGCGAAATAGAACTGAATATGTCGCTGGAGATACTTTTTTAAATGACCCATTTTTTCTATATACCTCATGCGAAATGTATATCATAATAACGGTGTTTTTTTTTTGAGAAAATGAAGCAAGCTTTACAACAAATTATCTCACCTTTTTCTGTTGAAAAAAAGCACTGATCAAATAGGAAAAAAAAATATCGGCGATAAATTCGGTGGGCAAATATTGGACGAAAATCACACGAGAACTCAATTTTTTTGTTTGTCTCTGCTGTTTGAATTTTTGATTTTATTCAACATTTTTTACATTATTATTTATAAAATTCAAATTTTATAAATTCAAAATTCGGAAAATGATTTCTGAAATTGAAAAGAAGCTCGTAGAAATTGTCTAATTCCAAATAAGGTCAAAAGAGTTTCGAATGCCAAAAGGGGCCATATTGTAGGTGATCTTCTTTTTGCGGATCCGAAAATGCCAAATTTTTCAAGATTATTATATATTTCATTTCCATGGGGTATTTTCATCGAATTCTCAATAAATAAGGAATTTTCAAAAAAAAAATTCTGGATTTGGTTAAAATGGGTTTTCAATTGTTTTTTTTTTTACATTTCAATTTGCTCAAAGCACCAACTCATTAGAATATTCAAAAAAAAATAAACATTTCATTTATTTTTTAAATAAAATTATACTTCGACCCCCCCCCCCATCAAAATGGGGTTCTACTGATTTCGATGTAGGTCCTATGTGTCATCTCAGCTGCGGACATTTCACAACTATACAAAATTTTAAATTTTGATGTATCAAAGAAAAAAACCAGAAACTTCGACATTTTTAGAATTGTGTTATCGATGTCCAAATATTGATTCCTTTCATAAAAAAAAGGTGGCGTGAAGGAAATATCGAATAGCTAACATAATTACAAGGGTACGACCCAAAATAATTAAATGCAATCAAAAAATTTCCAGCTCAAACCGATTATGAGATGTTCAAAATTTGACAGTTCTTCTCAGCTACTCTCACTCGCCATTTTTTTTCTCCCAAATGTTTGCCTGAGAAATAATCAATTGCACTCTTTAGATAAGCCCGCTCAGCTCGCCGATCTTGAACAATTTTATACAAATAATAAGGTTTGTTTTATCATTTTTATGCCGCAATAATAATTGATAATGGTTAATTGCCGAACTTCTAGAATAAATGGACGATCAGCGAGCAATTGAAGAAAATGAGCAGGTTCGTTTTTATTTGTTTATTTTTAATTGCAGTTTTAGGATGAAGCCACCACTTCGCAACAGCGGGATTCGCGAGAAGCTGATTTGATCTACTTCCTTCCTGAAGGAGTTCAGATATTCACGATTGACGGCGATGAGACAACTGCTCCATCGGAGCCGACCTCTTTACAAATATTGATGCTGAATTCTAATGAGCAACAAATTGAAGCATTCATTCAAGTGGGTCCTTGGGTGTATCCGTTGATGAAGGAGAAGACACCAATTCTGAAGAATGAATTTGGAGCCTATGTGATGCCGAATCCAACTCCAGATAGGCCAAGTAATTATTCCTCTCAAAATTTGTTCGCGTGATATTCTTGAATTTCAGACATGATGATAGCCATACTGATATCTCAAGACGTCGAACTTCGACTAATCGAAGAGCTGGAACTGGTTTTAAGAGAATACGCGGATCTTCGAATTCAAGAAGAGCCTTGCAAAGAATTGACGAAGGAGGAAAAATCGAGAATAAGCCGAAAAATATCGCAATTTTTAATACATGGTTGGCTTTTTGGCATTTATGAAAAACAGAAAATTGATTGTGATCAGGCGGTCAGAAAATCGCGTGGGGGATTGAGAAAGGTACAACAAAAGCCGCAATGAAGGTCCAAAATAAGGGAGAACGGTTCGAATCTGCTCGTTTCTCCGAAATATCGAATAAAAAGTTAAGGTATCGAAGTAAGCGAGAGGCTACGGAAAATCCGGTTCACGTGTCTCCTGTGGTTAAAGAAGGGGTCGTTTATATGCATAAGGGGACAAAAACAGTGGCAAAATGCACCAAATTCGTATGTGAGTTTGACTATTTTTCAAATTTTTAATTTTAATTCCATGATTTTAGTGGATAAAATTGGTGCTGTTGGTGCATTCGTTGGAGACAAACTGGCTTCTGGCGCACAGAAGACATTCAAGGATGGCAAATCGGGAAGATTCGTGTCAGGAACCATCGGTACTATTTTTTGAAGAATGTCCTGAATTTGAATTGATTGCTTTGAGATGTTCTTGGCGGTGGATTGACAGGGCTGGGAATTGTATTTATGTCGCTGGAAAAGGGCGGAAGGACGCTGGGAAGAAGCATAGCCAACGAGACTGTGCAGAGTGTCAAACTCAAGTATGGAGATGAAGCTTCCGAGACCGCACAGCACGCCTTGTTATCGGCTGGAAATGGATTGTTGGCCGGTGTGCAGATAATCCAGTTGGGACCGCATCATATTCCGACGCGGGTAGCGAGAACCGCCGGAATTCAAATGGTCAGCGATTTGTACAAAGAGCAGAAGAAGGCCGAAATTCTCGAAAAACAAAACGAGATCGCAAAATAATTCATCGGGTTCGCATTAATAAAAAAAAAATATTCATGGTGATTGATTCTCGACGATTTCTAACAATTCGTTTCATTTTTGGGTTCTTACAAAATTAAAAAAAAAAGATAAACTGGTCCACCGACTGATTTTTTTGTATACAGAGTAATTATTTTAAAAATCAAAAGGATTGTAAAATTGTAATCGCTACAGTCATTTCCTATTCATAACTCGGATCATCTCACTTCGTTCTGGATCATCCCAAATACCACAAATATCAGAAACACACTCATTGCATCTAATAATCACTTTCGATTCCAACTGAACTTCCGTAAAACCATCTTCTCTCGCATTTATCAAATTATTGTCTCGATTCACTAGAATTATATTTATGGCGACCAAACACTATTTATATATAAAATACTTTATTAAGGTATGTAATAGAATGGAATAAAGGGGTTGAGGGAAGACTGCGGTAGTTCAGTGGATGACGGTTGTTGTTGGTCTTCGTGACGAGCTGGCAGTATGGCCGTGCCAACTTGGCCTTTTATAATGTTACTTATCGAGTGACCTGAATCGTCGGGTAAATCATCCCTGTTCCATATGTCCCTTGGGGTCACCCGATGATGGCGCATATTCTAATATGACCGCATTCCACGGACGCGACAATATTGTTTTCTACTATTGAGAGCTGCACGGTACTCGAATTTTCCGAAGACGGAAGAAAACGGAAGACGAAAGACGGAATTCCGTGCAGTTCTGATCGAAAATTCAAACCGAAAACAAGAATTTAATTCCGAAAATAAAAAAAGCTGTTTATTTTTGCGTGATGCCCACTGCTGACTTCGCTACCGTAACGCACAAAAATCAAATTTTAAACTTTTTCGAATACTCGGAAACAAAGTCGGGCGGAATTTGGCATTCCGCGCTTTCAAATTATTTATTCCACCCAACCAGTGTGCGCCCTCGAGCGCTTATTCGAGTAATTATTCGAAAAATATTCGAGTAATTACTCGAATAATACTCGACTAATATTCGGGAAAACTTTCAAAAAATTCTCGAGTAATTACTCGAATAATACTCGAGTAATATTCGAGAATTACTCGAATAATTCTCGAATATTACTCGAGTAATTTTAGAAGATTTTTCGAGCATTATTACATTATTATTCTAATATTTTACGATTATTTTGTCGATGTCAACCAATAAAATAACAATTAATTCAGTTTTCATCTTCTAAACTTTCTTCGGGTTCTTCACAAGACGCAAACGCCGGTTCCTCTATCGAAAAATCGAGGAGACCTAGAATTAAATTTAAATGGATGATATAACACTAATTAATTGATTACTAGAAATTGATAGCTGATGCCATGAGCAAATAATTCATGTTACTGGGACTAAGAGGACTTCTTTTTTTGTTGCTAAGAATATTAGAGAGCTTCCTGCAAATGAAATCTGTCTTGAGTTTATTATATGAACTACGCACGAGAACAACCGCTCAGCTGCTGATGATGAAGCAGGTGAGGAAAACAGATCTCTCGATGGCACCGAAAGACGTGGGCATGATTTCCTCTGGAGTTTCCAGAACATTAACGGGTTCGTGTCGAGATCCGGCCTTGATCCACAAACTAATCCTTGATAGAAATTAAGTTCATTCTGAATATAATTATTTTGTCATTTCTTACTATCTGAAAACGAAAAATATGTTATATGCATTGAAAAAAAGATAAACCTATAAAAAATCCGAAAAAAAAACCGTATTTCAGTGTTTCGAAAAAAAAATTATTAGTGCAATAGAGCGTCGTTGTGTTTGCAGGATGATACTGTAACGCGCGATTTATATTCGAAAAATATTCGAATAATTACTCGAATAATACTCGAGTGTTATTCTGAACAATATTCGAAAAATACTCGAGTAAGTCTCGAATAACACTCGAGTAATTATTCGAATAATACTCGAATAATATTCGGAAAATTATTGGAATAGTATTCGAACATTCGGATAATATTCGACTATTTATTCGAATACGTATTCGAGGGCGCACACTGCGCCCAACTCTGCTCGGAAATTTGCTTTTTTTAGGAATTCGGAAGGTGGAATTCCGTGCAGCCAGTGTGCGCCCTCGAGCGCTTATTCGAATAATTATCCGAAAAATATTCGAGTCAATTATTGTTGGCGTCGACTTAACAAAATTCAAAAAAAAATTATTGGCTGTGTGTCAATGCGTCTCGAGATGGCGAGATAGCGTATATTGCATTATTGTGTACGCGCATTTAATATTCAGCCAACGAAAAATTTAAATCTACACTGATTTCGTAAATTTAAAGGCCCCTCATCCCTTCAGTCGTTTGACGCCGACCACTTTCGAATATTAATTGCGCGTTACAGTATCTTTCTGCAAGCACAACGACGCTGTATTGCACTATTAATTTATTTTTTTTCGAAACACTGAAGTACGGACTGTTTCGATTTTTATCGGTTTCTCATTTTCTTTTAAATACATATATCATCTTTTTCTTTTTCATAGTGTTAAGAAATGACACGATATAGGAAATTATCTTGTCATATAAAGGATCGATCAATTCGAATTCAAACCACCTCAACAACATTTACTGGTTTTGCAAGGGGAACATCAAAATCCCTATTTAGAGCAAAACAAAACTTCTTGAAATTAGTATTTTCTATAAATCTAAATGGAATAAATCCTGTCGCCACGCTCTTGAAATTAAATCAATTAAGAAAAGTTAATCAATTGAAACTGACATGGTGAATTCCAAGGTAGCATCTTCTATAGTGGAAGTACTGTCAGACAGATCGGTTGAGAAGCTTCTTTCCTACAAGAAGCATATAAACACACATAAACAAATAAATGGTTTCTAAAAATTTACCTTCCTTTTCTTGAATTTTTCATATTTTTCATCTCCTCACTATGCCTGTTGTTGAGGTGGTTTAAAATCGAAGTGGCCGATCCTTTATATGACAGCTCTTTCTTGCAAAAACTGCACTGGACCGTCGCATTATCATTTGATTTCGACGCAAATTTCCAAACTTTAGAAGTGCAAGATAATTTCCTACATCGTGTCATTGTTTAGTTATCTGAAAAAGAAAAATATGATACATAAGACAGCAATATAACTAAAAAAAAAAGAACACGAAGAAAAGTCATCTTTTCCGTGTGGACTACACGCAGAAGGCAGCACCCGGCCATATAAGCTAGGCCATTTCTATTCGGCCATGTTTATGAGGGGGAGACGAACCAAATAATTTCGATGAAATTCAGTTTCAACTCTTGGCACGAATATATTTTATACGCGTAAGTCGAATTTTTCTTAAGCTTGAGTTAAGCGCAACGCTATTTTGGATGTGTTTGATACGCAGTCAAATTGTGAATGAGCAAAATTATTGCTTTTATTGTCAAATTTTTACCCTTCTCACCCAAGAAGTCGTATGTCATCGACCATACATAGACGCAGCAAATTTGGAACAATTAAACAGATGTTGGCTTAACATTAGTCGCCAAATTAGGCATTTCCCAGCAATCATTGATTCAAGATTGCATTGAAACGAATCAAATCAGAGGTGTAATTCTAATTTTGCAAAACAGGTTCTCTTTTAAAAAGATAAGTTTACAAATAGCAGCATCGTTGTCAATTCATTCGTTCGTCTTTTTTTTTCGAAACCTGTCTGGTCGTTGAACGTTTCAAGGTTTATACACAATACTTATACATATAATATAATACATGTTTTGATATAGTTAGGAGATCACAATGCGGTTGCACAATGGAGCGAGGTTTCGGACGCCGGAAGCGGCGACGCAGTTGCACAGCTGGCGGACGCCGGCGGTGTTGAATCCGCTCTGGATGGCGCACTGTTTCGTGTTTCGGACGACGACGCTGTCTGGTGGAAGATCGAGACCGCATCTGAAATTCGGCAATATAAAATTGGGGCTTGACAGGATTCATGGGCTACCCAAGCTTCTTGTAGCATGAGCCAGTCGATCCGCGATCCATACACTTCATGACACAGGTGGCGAACTTCTTACCAACCGACAAGAATCCCTTCGCTTCGGCCTGAATTCCGGATCGCGTGAGAATTCCGTTGATTTCGGTGAAAGCGGCAAGTTTCAATGTTTCTGGATAGCGTTTTCTAACCATTCCGCCTCCACCATTCGAACACCTGCAATCAAGAGCCCACTAGAATTCGAAATCGGATTCAGAATGGCATACGCGTTTCTCATCGTGTTCTTCGAGCATTCGGCGACTTGAGCAATGGCTGGCTCTTTGGCCAAGATGCACTGACGGAGTTGCGGATAGTTGGCACCCATGGCGGCGACATGATTCTGACACTTATCAGCGCACTTCATGAATCCGCCTTGCGCGGCGTTGAGGCACGGCTGAATCTCGGCGCACGAGCATTCGCGAATCATTTGTTGGAATGTCGCTGGCACAAAGCACAACAGAACGGCGAGTATTGTGCGCATCCTACAAATTGGAATTCGAAGAGTTCAAAAAAAGTAGCATCTGCGGACAATTTCAAAGCAATTCTTGAAGCGATTACGGACCATTAAAAAAAACCAAGTGTGAAGTGTGAAAAAAAGAGAAGATTTGATGGTTGTTTTTGGCATCTCTCGTAAACAAACTGAAGTGTAAGGTCGAAAATGGCGATAAGGTTCGAGATTATATAGAGTTTTGCCGCGCCGGGTTCCCCCCTCCCTTCCCTCTCACTTCCCCCCTCCCGCCCATTTCGGCATCTCGACGACCCACGCCGCCGAGTACTTTTGATTCACCGGCGGGCCGCGGGAGACGAAATGACGTACTAAAACGAACTTGTTTCGGCTTGAAAAAAAAACAATGTCAACCAGAGAAAAAGACGACATTTTGCGAACTTCTTTCATTTTTCTGAAACGATTTTATGTTGTAAACTCGTTTTTTTTTAGTATTTGTGTAATGAAGTAAGTAGCCGACGAGAAATTGGCTGACCAACGAACGATGATTAGCCGAACCGAAATTTAAAACAATGCCAGTTGGTTTTTTTTTTTTTTTGATAAGATACCGCTTTGAAATGGTTTCATTGGAGATGTTCGGCCAATAGGAATCGCGAAATGTCATTCACTTCATTGATTTTATTTCGAAATTTCAGCTCAAATTTTAGAATCATACTGATTTTTCATTCTCATTTCACCATAAAATATTGCGTTGAAACATTAGGATCGATGCGGATTCCGTGTGGAGTACACAATGAAGAGTCCCTTCGTCTCGAGACCAATTTTCGTCGATTTGGTGAGTTGAGACAAAACAATCATTTCAAAATCTCTATTTTTTCCATCATTCCGGGAAGACTGGAAATTCTGTGGATAAAGTTGGACAATTATAGAATCTGAGTTGTTTCATTTTTTTTGGAAATTTTCGAACTCGATTGAATCTGATTTACCAGACTTTCAATTTTTTGTAAAAAAAAATTTTTCGAAATAGAATTTTCAGCAAATTGAAATACTCGAAATGGACGATTAATCTCATTTTCAGCTATTTTACTTCTAGATGCTGAAAATTATTTGAGAAAATTGGAAATCTTTCAAAAAGCAATTCTCGACAAAAATAAAAGAAAATTGTAGAAAAAATTTTATTTTATTTGAATTTTTAATTTTTATTTTGAAACATTTTTAGCACTTAATGAACAGGATTAAACAAAAATTTCAATTTTTTGGATATTTTCTTAAAAATTTGAGAATTGACTGATTGGAAATTCAAAAAAAAAATGGAAAAAATTTCAGCAAATTTTCGCAAGTGCAATTTTCAGTTCCTTATTGTCTCAGTTCGAATTTCCGAAATAACCAAAGATCAATTTTCCATCATCTATTGTTGAATGTGTTTTTTTGAAATCTCGAAACGAAATGCCCTTGAACCGGCTGCTGCCCATCTCATTTCCCACATTTATTCGATAGGATGTTTGATTCACAAAGCGCTTCTTTTTTTTTGGTCGTGCCAAGGTTGATTTTTTTAATTCAATAATGTTGTCGGTACGGATTTTTGGGTTACGTTCGATCCACTCAACGCGCGAATTCGGCAAACGTTTCGATGAATTCAACCAATTTCTGACGTATTCGAATTCAGATGAATGATTAACACAAAAACGAAGGTTCTCGAAAACAAACCGAAAAATGAAAATGTTTGGCTGTGAAAGAGAACAATATGTCGGCGAAATAATTGATTTTTTGATTTTTTTTTAAACAATTCTGATTTGTGATTGTACGGAGTGCTATTTGTTTGGAAATCCATTCTTTGATGCCTTCCAATGGCTCGAGAGAGCCGACCTATTTGTCCGCAGATGAATTCGTATTCAAAGCAAATAAGTCTTAGTCAGCAATCCAGAGTTCCAATGGAATTTGTGCGGTCTTCGGATACAAGATTCTCATATTTTAACAGGGAAAACCGGGTAAGTCTTAGAGTAACGGAACATTCGATCAAACTCTTTTTGTAGACGACAACGGACCAACTCGAGCGGAACGAACGAACTTGAATTATCGAGAAAGTTGTTCGATTAGAAAAAAACATTTGACGAATTCATGAGGCATTGAAATGAGGCATTGATTTGTTTTTATTAAAAAAAAATAAATCAAGTTTTCACTACTGAATTTTAAGTATTGGTTAGACTTTGAAAGAACCACAAAATTGAAAATACCATAAGATTTTTGATCTCGAAGAGAAACAATTTTTCGATTTCCTTATTTACGCGATATAACCTAAATTATTAGTACCGCTAAAAATGAAACAATTTGAATGTTTTATTTGGATTCAGATTTTGGAGTATGTAGTTCGGCTACCGTAATAGAGATTCATAACCTAGGGTTTCCACTCGTTCGGCCCACCCGCCCGCATGATAAAATTGAAAATAGTATTTTGGTCACTTCTTAGTCACTTAGTCGGTTCGTCCTTCGCTTGTTGAGGCGCGAACCACAGCTTTCCAAGCTTTTCGGTGCTTGGCTTGGGTGGACCACTGGGTGATAACGGCTCCTTCAGCTGGACGGATGAATTTCTATTGCATTGATCTTCGAATTGTCGCCTTGAGACTCGTATGGAAATTCTTAATTGATATTTCGCGATTTCTTAGGACCATATCATAAAATAGCATACAATTTTAGCGAATTTTAAGTGTTTTTGTTGGCAACAGAAGTTGCAAGCGACCGAGTAGGAGCAAATTCATATTGCGATCTATTAAATTGCGTCTCTGATAATTCGAAGTCAATTTGATCCGACAAAGTTCGGCTCCGGAATCAACCCAACCCGATTGGTAATTCTACGGATAAGATTGAATTGTCGGATCCGATTCGAACTGAAAAATTAAAACAAAAGTGATTCGAATAAGAACCAATCTGATCCAACAAATTAATTTTGTCGGATCGGATTGGTTTTGAGATACCAGAGAATTTATGGACAGCAATTTAATAGAGTTTAAAGTCTTCAAATTGATCCGTCGGCAAAAAATGTGTTTACAATTGTTTGATTTCATCCAAAATTGTAATTAATTATTTTTCTCATAGTAAATGTTTTTTTAAGATAGCGGCGAAATATTCTTTAAAAAAAAACACCTAAAAAATTCCGATAATAAATATAAATTTTCAAAAAAAAAAAATGGCGGACGTGAAATGTTCCATGGCCGAATAATACGCGGCCGCCCGATAATTCGTCCACCTGAATTCTTATAATTCAATTCTTTTACGTGAAATCACGCATAAAAATATTGATTTATTTATATAATAAGTAACATCTCAAAAAAAAAAGAAAATAAGTAACATCTCTGGATTTAAAAAATTATTCAAAATTTTAAATCTCGATTTTTTCTCATCTAATCCATTCATTTTCGAATTGTAATCGAGATTATTTCTTTTTTCAATTTTAGAATTTTAATTCTATCGTTTATTGTTAACTTTTAAAACTGGTTTATTGAAAGATAGAATTTCCATAAAAGTCATCCCCAAACAAAAATGTGAGAGGCGGTTTCAAATTTCGCAAAATGGTCCCACCAGGTCGAGTAAAGAGGCGAAATGATGACGAAGCAAGAAGCAGGAGCTAAAGAAGTGTAATGTGTATATGATGAGAGGTGCGCCGCCTGTGGTGCCGCCGATCGGCTCGAGCTCTTTTTGTGCTCAAATGTTCGACAATTGCTGTTCGGATGGAATCCGCCGTTTTTCGATCACCCGCGCGATATAATCAAAACTATATATTTGTAGGTTTTGTATACACTCTGATTCATCGCTTCTCCTCCTCTTGATTGTCAATTTGTCAACCCAAACATTTATTTTGATTTCAATCACAATTTGTTGTTGTTTATTTGTTTATTGTTGTTTGTTCGAAACATATATTCTTCTTTTTGTTTTCCATACGATTTGCAAGACAATCATTTAAATAAAACTATAGATTTTATGATAATGTAGTTGAGGAGAGAAACGCTCGCAATTTTACGACGAGCATTGTAAACGATCTCACGATAGGTTTATTTTATTGCGACGGCTTAGAAGATTCGCCGCCGACATTTTGAAATCAATTAGCAGGTGCCGTCGAATATTCATTCTATTTCAAAAAAAATTATTATAAACAGAGCGAAGATTTTTTTCATTAATTTTTTTAATAGACGAAATGAATTGCTCGATAGACTCTCATCACAAATTTCATTCATTTTCAAGTATTTCTTTGTGCTAGATTTTTCAAATTAAACAGTGGATATTAAATTTCATTGAATATTAATTTGAGTGCATTGAACTAATTGTGATCAAAATCAAAATTTCACCAAAAATTATTTTAAGAAATTTGAGAACAATTTTATATACATATTGTTTTCCGGTAGATCAATACCCTCTTGAACACCCGCTTTTGACTATGAATGGAATCTGTATTGTTTGATGCCAACATTCGATCAAATGTTTTGCCAATAAAACTGACAACCATAATTTATTTGTTTGGCATTTTTACAAACATTAATTTCTTCTTCTAATTAAAAAAAAACACTTCAAAGTATTTTCCGGTGTACATTTTCATTCGAGAAGTTGTGGCAATTATTACACAAATTAAAACATCGAATTATAATATGTAAATACCGAATGGGCGTGAGAGTAATTAAACAAGTAATTAAATAATTATTGATTGGCGAGATAGTGGGAGTGGGCGAATTGGTTGTCTCAAATTTCTTGAATGAGTCGAGACGAGGAGTCAACGATCAGTTCCTCGTGCAGCTCTTTTTTTTCTCTTGGTGAGCTCCTCCAGCTCTCGCATCAGAAATCCTCGTGATAAGACCACACTTCGGCCGCCATTAGCCATTCATCATTTTGGACCGAAAACGAGAGGCTCGCTCGTTTCTTACACAAAAACTACGCACAGCGCTTACAAATCCCGTCGGGACCCGCCAAACATATAAAAACCAATTTTTCATTTTTTGATTCCATTCTCGCTCGCTCTTCAATTCTCCGACTCGCCATTGCGGCTCTAATTTTTTTTCGCTGCAATTTGTGACGATTAAAGGCGCATACCGAATGTGACAATGTAATCCTCGCCTTCTTTGTCATTTTGCGTGCCTGCCGTGTTTTGTCGAGTGGCCGGCCGGCGTCGTTTTACACTTTTTTTCGTTTTTCTTGCTTCTTCCATTTTCCGTGCTTTTGCCACCAATGAATAATTGAGCTCGTTTCGCTTTTTTTTTCGTCTTTTCTAAATACCACTTTTGATACTAATTCCCATTGTGTCAAATTCCGGCTGCGGACCACATTCCGGGTTGGCACATAACAACCATTTATAAAGCTTATACTATTGAATATATTTGGTTCGTTCTTTCTGATATGCAATTCATTTTTTGTGGACCATCCGATGCTGTATTACGATAATTCCAATATGAGCATGGATCATTTGCTTCCCCTTTTGTTATAGCCAATATAAGGAATTAATTAAATGAACGCATTCGTAGGTCCGTTCAATTTTTAAACCAGGAAAACTGCTTTCTATTATTCAATCTGACCAAAAGTTGTTCTTTTCATAGCATTCGCTCGAAACGCACAATTGTGGGGGCATCTTAATTCGCGAAATCGGTGTAGTTTTAAATTTATCATTGACTGAGTATTAAACGCGCGTACACTATAGTTCAATGTACGCAGTTTCGCGCATTTTTCGCTGCCTTCGAGACGCATTGGCACATTGCCAATAATTTTTTAAATTTTGATTACTTGCTTGAACCGATAGAAAGTAAAAATTTTAAAGTTTCCAACATTTATTGTGGCGGAAAAATAATTTGAGTTTTCTTTTATGAATCCCTGAGCTCGACTCTCTCAATCACCCCATTTCCAGCAAAAATCAATTGAAAAAATCGGATTTGTACGGCCGCATCGAAATATCAAAATGTTGATAATTAAAAAGTGTTTATATCATACTTGATTATTCTGGTAGAAGCTTCTTCTCAAAAACTGACTACTATATCAGACGAGAACTTCTTATAAATTCCGTCAGCGAGCTGCCAACAGTTTGACTACTTGAATACAGACACTTATGATTCGAAGAACTAATTTAAAAATCGATCGAGCTATCTCGTTTTAATTAGCTCTCATTATGGGGTTTCGGGTCCTACAAAGAACGCCGTAAATCGACACTTTCGAGAGAAACCGACGAAATTTGTTTGCATATGGAAATGAAAGGAAAATCGAAGAAAAATGGAACCGGCCACCTCGTAAACTTATGGTTTTACTCGTTGTCTTCGCCCACCTTTTCATCGATGTCCTTTTTATAAAATATGCGGACGACCCCCATCGGCCAGGTGTACAAACAGACGACAAACGACACAGAAAACTCTTCGCTCGACGGAACACGGCCAATATATTTTTTTCCGTGCCGTTTCCTGTTGTTTCTCCGGTCCGTTTTCCACTCATCAATCTCATCTAAATGAATGAATGAACAGAGTTGCGTCGGTCAAACTCAACGAGGGCCAGCACGAGCTCACGGCTGCTCCTGGTGGTTGAGGTTCGTCCCACCACTGGCTATAAAGAGCAAGTGTTTTTTTCTCGTTGCGTTTTTGACGTGCTAAGAGTCCCCCCCCTTTGTTGTCGTCGTCGTTTCCGACGAAACCGACGAGCAATTGAATTACAGCACTCGTATAAAATCGAGAAACGACGAAGCGAATATTCGCATGTTTCCTTTCCACTCTTCAATTCTTAAAATGAAAATGTGTGCTTCTTTTTTTCTTTTTTTTTAGGAAAAACTTCATTCTTTTTATGATTTCCATGGAAACTGCAAATTTGCGTCATGGTGAACACTGAGATGTCAAGAAAATCACTATTTCACCAATCTTTGCACCATTTTTAAAATTTCTTGAGAAAATTCACGTTAGATTTTAGGAAAAATGTTTAATTGATTTAAAATGTCGGCTCAAAATTTAAATTTTTTTTCCAATTTTCATTTTGTTCCGTATTTAATTGTGCTTTATCAAATCAAAAATTGTTCGATTTTTCCCACGACAATACAACAACATCAATCATTGTCTTTCTTTTCCATTTTCCACACCGAAAATTGAATTCATCGCCAAATTCTCTCGGTCTGCACTATTTTCGGTGTTTGCGTACTTATTCCGTCTACCGTACCACGCTCACAAATGCATTCAATTTGCACACCCATAAATTGTCGATTTCAATTTTTTTTTCGTTTTTGCGCTGCGTCGACTCATTCCCAAATCCCATTCGTATTTTTGCTGTCAAACCCAAATCGGGTAACGAAAATGAATATAAAAAAGAAATGATGAAAAGCAATAAAATGCACTTGGTGCGTGTTTGTGCTGCGCAAGCTAGCGACAAAATCTCTTTGTTCGTTTATTGTTTCACAAACAAAAAAAACCAACAGCAACAAGTAGGAGAGGATGGGACCAAGACGGAAATGAATAGGCGAGAGATTACGCGAAAATGAGAGACACCGATATTCTATTGTGTCAATTTTGAGGGGCCCTTGATGAGATTTCAATACCACCAAAATCCAGCCACCGTTTTCAATTCATTTTTCCATTTGACCTTCATCGTTCCAATATTTGTCATATTTGGCATTGATCCAAAGTCCAGCAATCTCAATGCCTCCAATTTTCAATACAAAATTCTAGTTTCAATGGTCCGAAACTTTCTATTGGTTCAATTTTAGTTATTTAACTTTCAGTGAAAAATTGCATTGAATAAATTGACTGATTGAAGTTTGAAATATAATTAAGTGTGCCAAATGTCTCGAAGAGAGGAGCCATTTGAAACCACCAATATAATTATTTAATTAATATTAAATGACCGCCGTGTTGCTCGAATATCACACGCGTTGGCCTCCAAAAAAAAAGAAAAAAAAATTCGCCTGACATTCATATGTGTTTCGCTCATTCCGGATGCCTCATAAACTGCCGACAAGTGTCTTCCGTCCGTTTTTGGGTGCTTCTGGCGTCAATGGGTGTATGCGTATGCATGCGTTGTGCAAGAGCGCTCATGGCGCCCGTCATGCTTCATTTATATCCATTTTGTTGTGTCTCGCACCCACTCGCATTTTTGTTTCCCCCCTAATGATGAGCTCTTAACGCCCATATTTGCATATTGTTCTCTTATCCACTTTTGGCACACTTCAACTACTTTGTGCTCAATTATTGGAAGAAAACAACTGCAAAGTTTATGGTTTACTGTAGTTTAGCCTCTTGAGTCGTCATTTTTCTTTTCGCTGCAAAACCCCGTCCCCATTAATAGGATTGTAAAACGCAAAAGCTCAGCTGGCATTTTAAGCATTCAATTTCGATTTTTCTTTCCTATCTATTTCAATCCACTGTTTCAAAAAAACCGAAAAGGCTTCTCAATTTACATTTGAATTTGGTTCTTCAAGGTTTTTTCTATTTATTATCGTATTTTTTTGTATAGATTAATTTGAATCCAAACATTTTCAGGCATTTCCATGTGCTATGTGGGGCAAGATCACATCTCACATCGGCTTATGGTTGGGGCTCGAGGAGTCCGAGCGACCGATGAGGGCCTCATGCTCGATGTCAATGATCCATCATCCTCATCTCACCACAGTCCGCAATTCGAAATCGTCGGAAAATCTGCATCGGGTAATTATTGTCGAATTCAAAACGACTAATCGTGAGCATGCCGCCGTTTTCTCATTCATTGGGTCTCGTGAAGAGTTCGGATTTCAAAAATGAAGAACATACACTACCCTGGGTGCAAACATGCGTTTCTTGATACATAGAATTGTCTTTTAGTCATTTTCAATTTGATCTATGAAATTTATTGAAATTCTACAGTAGATATTAAAGGCGCACGCAAATATATGCCCATTTCGTGCAAAGATGGCGGTTGACCATTTCAATTTTCAAATTCGCCAAATCAGTGTAAATTATCGTTGCGCGTACACTATAATGCAATGTACGCAGTCTCGCGTGCATCTCGCTGCCTCGAGACGCATTAGCATAATTTTTTTTTATTCAGCCGTTTGACGCTGACAATAATTAAAGAAGGTGCAGAAAAAAAAAGAAACTCGAATTAACAATCAGGTTCCGTGGACATTTCACGGGTTTCGCCGGCATTTCGCAAAGTTCGCATTTGCCTTCGAAATAGGGCTCAATTTGCAGATAACATCAACGGTATCTCCGAAGCGAAACATCAAAGACATTGATAATTCGCCGACAGTGAAAAAGGTTGGAATCATAATGAGTCGACGTTTGTCACGCGACACTTCCGCGTTTTTTCAGAGCTCTTCGATTTTCACATTGAGACGGAGCCGAAACAAGGAGAAAAAGTACAAGAATGGTGAGTGACAACCGAGTGGGCGGAGCATAATTTGAGCCAATTTTTGTTGTTGTTGTTGTTGTTGTTGTTGTTTCGATTCATTTTTTGTCCTGCCTCAAATTTCATTGAGATCAAACATGTATTCAAGACTTATTTCGTTCAAAGGTTTGCCATTCTTTTTTTTCGCTTCGAGACCATTCTGTGCATGAGTCGAAGTTTCCAGGCAACCGCAATTAAATTCCATTCATATGGAATTATGGTTATTAATGGGAAAATTTCTTTTTTCCTCATTCCCATACGAATTAAAAAAAATAAAATTTTCTGTGCTTGAAATTGGAAACAAAAAATTAAAATTACGTGTGAAAATTGGATCTTTTCAAAACTTTTCTGGTCCAATTTTTATTTCTATTGCTTTAAATCAATTTTTTATTCAATTAAGAACCTTTAATTACCGTAAATAGACCGTAGTGTGGAGAAGACGAATCTTTGAAAAAAATACAAATATTTGGAGAAAAACTTTCAGGCACCAAATCGCCGAAAAAAATGAACGATATGACGGCTTCATGGCATTCGCCGCAAATTAATGGAGCTGGATCACCTGCAAGCGCATCGAGCAGCGAGCAACATCAAACTCCACCCAAAAATCATATATTCGGGTTTTTAAAGTAAGAAATTGTCGTATTTGTTCGAAACATTTAATACATTCTGAATAATTGCGCTATTTTTGCAATAAAATTTTCATTTAGTCGGATGTATAGGGGTAGATTTACGGGAGCCGTGGTCTCGCGCGGATTTACTTCTTATGAAATGCAGTGAACTTTCAAAATAAACAGTCCACGGGAAAACACGTGGCGAGACCATGACGAAAGGCGCGCCCGTAAATCTACACCCAATATATTGTGGAAAAATGACGAATGTGAAAAACTGCAGCGATATCCTATGCATTGTGTGCGTACACCGAGTCGCACATCTCGATCTTAGCTACAGTAATCTCAGCTGAAAATTATTTAATTAATTATTGGTCGTTTCTTTTTTAATAAAACAATTAACTTTAAAAACATACAAAAATTATGGCTATTACAGTTTTTAAACACAATAGCATACATAAAACCATGAATTCGCGAAGAAAACACAGAAAAAAATGTAAAAGAAATAATTGATCAAATAATTTTCAGTTGAGATTACTGTAGCTAAGCTGGAGATGTTCGACTCGGTGTACGCACACAATGCATAGGATTTCGCTGCAGTTTATCACATTCCTCATTTTTCCACAATACATTGCCATTGCAAAAAAAAAACAAGCACCTTGAATAATTCTGGATTACTGTTTCGAGGCGGTAATATAATCAGCGGAAATTCATTTTTTGTTGCGATTTTTCTGTCAAATTTCTGGATTCATTTTTATTGAATTTTAATCGTTGTCATTTCAGCCGCCAATCGCGATCTCGAAGCAACAATCCGAGTGATAACGTGACAGTTCACAACTCGAGCACACCATCATCGAGCTCAACCGTCGCCGACTTCACACATCTTCGACGCCGACGTCCGCGATCCGCGCATTATGATCCGAACACGATCACACTGCCAGCGAAAGAAGAAATCACGCCGCAAAATGTCGACGAATTGTACAGAAAATTGGAGAAACTTGGCGAGGGCAGCTACGCGACCGTCTACAAGTGCGAATCGAAAATTGACGGATCGATTGTGGCGCTGAAGGAGATTAAGCTGCAGTTCCAAGAGGGACTGCCATTCACCGCGATACGCGAAGCATCGCTTCTCCGCAATCTCCGACATGCCAATATCGTCTCTCTTCATGATATCTTTTATCAACATAATCAGCTAACATTTGTCTTTGAATATATGGTGAGAACTAGAGAAAATCCAGCAAAAACCGCTAAACGCAACGTTATTTTTCCAGAAAATGGATTTGAGCAAGTATTTGGAGCAAAATATATTCGGATTAGATAGTTTCGAGATCAAGCTTCTATTATTCCAATTGCTCAGAGGACTCGATTTTTGCCATAGGAAAAAGATTTTGCATAGGTCAGTGGATAATAAATGCCATGAGCGAATTGGCTGGAAAAATCCGAAAAATTATAATTTTAGAAACCACGAATTTTTGCATGAAATTCTACTTCTCACATTGTCTAGAATTATTTTTCATAGCGAAATTATTTTGCAGAGATCTGAAACCGCAAAACCTGCTGTTGGATGAGGACGGCGTTCTGAAGCTCGCCGATTTCGGTCTGGCTCGCGCGAAATCGGTGCCGAGTAGGACATACTCTCACGAGGTTGTCACTCTCTGGTATCGACCGCCCGATGTGTTGCTCGGCAGCACCGATTACTCAACGTCGTTGGATATGTGGGGTGTCGGGTGCATTTTCGCCGAGATCTGCACTGGCACTGCGCTGTTCCCGGGCACCAAAGACGCCGTCGATCAGCTCGACAAGATCTTCAGTATTCGCGGTTCGCCGGATCGCCGAAAATGGCCCGAAGTGGTCAATCTTCCGCGATACTCTCCAGGAATGTTCCCCGAGTATCGCGAGCTCTCCTTCATCGCCGTCAATCCAAAGTTCACGAAGATCCTGAAGAATGGCCAGGAGCTTCTCGGAATGCTGCTCCAACTCCGTCCAGACAGTCGAGTGTCAGCAGCCAGCGCCATGCTTCATCCCTACTTCGCCTCGCTTCCCCGCGAGATACATCTTCTATCCCCAAACCAATCAATATTCAAGCTCAAAGAGTTCAAAGATTTCATCGGATTCTAAATGATTCACGGGTTCATTTTTCATTCAAGTGTGCTTCCTTTCCCCCACGACTCCTTCACTATTTTTCAAATATATCGACTCATAGGATATCACTCATTTATTTGGCTTAATAAACTATTATTAAATGTGTATATGAATAAAGATTATTATTAGAAAATTATTAAGGTGGCAGTTTATCCCGTATTTATTGGCATGGATAGCATTGCTGAAATTGGGAATTTCGAAAAATGAGTACGAATGGAATAAGTCTTACCGCAGTTCCGAAGTTTCTCTTCTTACGCCGTCGAAGGCCAGAATTAGGTGTGCAAATATTACAATCATCCTGAAAGTCGGTTTTTCCGGATTATAAGATTTAAAAAAGAACTTACAAAGAAGTTTCGCTTGACACGATGCCGACATTGCGGGAATGCCATACAATTCTGCTCCGAAACATTGATATTCGGCTGTCCAAAGTTTCTTTTAACTCTGTGGGGAAGAAGCCCAGAGACTCCGCATCTTGTGCACTTCTTCCGCCGGAACACTGCTTCTCTCTTCGTTCGTTTCTCCGCATAAACCTTCTGGAAGATCGCATACTCGACATTGTTCAAGCAATCGTCTGATTGAGTGCAAGCCCTCTGCTTGCGTCGTCGTTCCACAGTCTCTTCTTCCGATGAATCATCCTCGAATCCAAGCTTGTATCCCTTCTTAGCTCGAATATCAGCAATAGCTTCGCTGATAGTCATCTTCTTTTCTGGTTCCTCATCAGCTCCTCTCTTCTTTCTACTCGCCAATGCCAGTGTCACCCAAGCGGGACACGGAACACAAGCCGCTGAATTGTCCGGAGCAAAGAACTGACGTTTGACACGATGGTGCTCCTCAAGAGCCTTCTCGTACTCGGCAACAGCTTTCTTATGCTCATCTAGAGCTTTGTAGTACTTGTCCAAGCGATCAGCATGACGCTTTCTGCGCTTCTTCTGAGCAAGAACGCACGCCGGGAATTTCAGACAACCTCCTGGATTATTTCCACCAGCGGAAGCATGCGAAAGAAGTTTGACAATATCCAAGATTCCTTTTGGATTGTATGCTTGACGCTTTTCTCTTTCATTTATTGTAAATTCATCGTTATCGCATTGCTCATCAACATATCTCTTTTCACGTCGGAGGCATTGCTAAATCATTTCGAGAATTATATGTATTTGGCCAATTGAATAATCCTTACATCTCTCTCAGCCTCTCTCTTCTTTCTTCCATAATGCCCGTTGCAAGGTTCGCAATATTGAGACCCAATAAGGTTTCTCTTGTATCTTCTCACATGCAATGTGCATTGTGGATGAGGTAGACACTAAAAGTTCAATTCGTACATATATTTTTTCTGAAAAAATAATAATTACCGCTCTCTTCGTTCTCTTGTGCGGTTCTCCGATCGGATATCCCACTGGACTCTGCTGTGGTCGCTGGTCTCCCAAGAATGGATTATTATCCGAATATTGTGGCTGAAGGTACGTGCAAGGCACACAATCGAAAGATCTCTTAGATCTTCTCAAAGGAGTTCCATTGAGGCAAAGTTGGCATGGTCCCTGATCGAAGTTTCTCTTAGCTCTCACGTGAGCTCTTCTGAAGTCGTAGAGTCTTCCAGCGGTTGGTGGAGCCTCAACATGATCTTCGGATTGTTCAACGAGTTTGCGGGTCGTCGATACAGAGGCTGTCTTGGTTTTGGTGCCCGCGGCTTTCATAACAGTTTTGACTGGTGGAGATGTCAATACGGGCGGTGAGTGCTGGCCAAGAAGACTGACTGGAACAAGGAATTTGAGTCAAGTTATGGATTTTTATGGCTTACGTGGCTGGCAATGAAGGCCCGGTGCTGCTCTCTTGGTCCGTTTTCCGAGCATCATCCTCTTTCTGCACGGGCATGTCGGGCACGATCTCAAACATGGTGGCACTGTAGCCAAACAATTATCGAGATTGAGGTTAAGCTCTGGGCAGCAAGGCTTTTCTGGGGGACAGCAAGGTTTTTGTCCTTGATTACAACATGTCGGATTCTGATAGTAACAGCAAGGCCTTCCGCACCCACAATCTCCATTTGGACATCCTGATCGACACGGTGTCCGTCCCTGCGGTGATCCGCCGCAACACTGAGTCGGAGCTTCTGGAGCCGGTGGAGGTGGTGGCGGAGGCGGTGGTGGAGCAGCAGGAGTTGGTGGCGGGCAGCAAGTTCTTGGGGGATTTGGTGGAGCTGGAACTGCTCCTGGATTGCCATCCTCATCCTCGTATTCCTCATATTCAGGTCGTCGACCTCTGCAGCAAGGCTTTGGGCAACAGTTTGGAGTTGCTGGACAACATGGACCAAATGCCGGCTGGCAGCAAGGTTTCGGCGGTGGCGGTGGAGGGCAGCACGCAAGTGGAAGCGGCTTTTGATTCGAGCAACATGCTAAACAATATCTTTTTGAAAAATTTTAAATAAAAGAAGGCGATTTACAGCTAGAGCAGCAAGAACGATTCGGGAAAAGATCACATCCGGAGCATCCACATGAGCAACGCTTCCGGCGTTCTATCCTAAACCAAATACAGTAATCAGAAACAATTTTTATGATGAGTACCTTTGAGTAAGCGGAACTAAATTCGATTCATTTACGGCGACAAAGTGGAGCGGAAGGTCCGCAGAACGCAAATGTGATTCGTATTTGACCGCCGCTTCGGCGAATTCGTAAACGCTGAGCAACAGTGCCCAGCCAAGGAGGAGCATTACGCCACCTGCCTGGAAAAAAAAACAAATGTTGTTGTTATAGGAAGGAGAATAAATGGAAATGAGCGTGGGATTCGTCGCGACGGGTCGGATGGCAAAAACTCGCTTGGCGCCGCTGGACAATGCGCGACGGACAAGATCGCGTCGAGAATTTTTGAAACATTCTCGTCCTTGCCCACCTTGTTTCTTGTTTCGCTTCGAACCGCCCCCGTCGCGACGGCGCGCCTGCTTGCATTTTATCAATTGCGTTGTGCGGATTGCGTATTCTCCACAGAACTGGATATTCCAAGTTTTGAGTCTCGAGATGATATTATGAAATGGACGCAATTAGCGGCTATCGTCGAGATTTTCAAAGAAGAAAGCAAAACGAACCACTTTTGAGATCGTACCGCGAATCAAATTGATTGAAAAAAAAGTGAGAAGAAGGAGCGCTCAAGAATATGATAAATGGTTTCAAATATGGAAATCAGAGAAAAAGAATTCGACTTAGGCATTTTAGACTCGCTCTAACGTATGCTTTGGTTTAGTATCAAGATTATGCAGAACTACAGTGTACATCAAAGGCGCAATCAAAAATTGTAAATTTCGCCAAAGGACTGAATTTGATCTAATAAGTTTGAATTTCCGACAGTTGTTGTCCACGAAAAAAAAAACTTTGAATTATATATGATAATAAATATACTACGAATATTAGACTGCATTCTAAAAGATATTCATTGTCTTTTGAAGACCTGGGCGGTCAAAGCACAAAAATTTTAAGACGCACAAGATGCATCAAGTCCTTTCCTTAAAAGGTTTAGGGCATTTACAATTTCATCCATAGTCGAGGTTCGACGCGACATCGACAATACGCATTTTAAAAACAAAAGTATTTACCGTATCACGTTTTTCGAAGCCAGCGTGAACTGCTTTCGCTTTTCCATTTCAATATCACGGCTTTATGATTTCCTTTTGATATACATATATACTCATTTCGGCGTCGAGAAAATCTGAAAAGCAACAGCATTCAAATGGAGATCTCAAAGAAATGAGAACACAGGTTATTTTTATCGCAATATGGTATTAGAAGGTCCTACAATAAACTATATTCGATCTTAGTAGAGACAATTTCTACTAAAATTAATGAACTTAAAGGTGTTAAAAGAAACGTAGCATTTTTGATGAGGAAACATATATAAAAACGAAATAAACTATCGAACCATAAAATATAGGAGAATATTCAAATTGTGTCTTGTTTTGTCAAAGTGTTTGCGGACTAATTTTATCTACAGTAACCAAAAGTTTCCACGTACGTCATTTTGATATTGATTTTCAATTTTTCGTAAATTTTTTGGGATATGTCTCGAAAATTATGGAAACTTCTCATTTCTACGTTATCAATTTTCAAATATCATCTAATTATGTTTGTTTTCAGAAAAAAAACCTTGCAAAACGACCAGATTTTCGCCGGGATCACCCTTTTTTCCTGCTGGCGACGCCTGTGATATCGTGTAGGTTTTACCCATATTTTTTTCTTTTTATCGATTTTTTTCTTAATGTGTAAAAAACGTAAAATTTAAAATATTTTTTCCGTTGTGCTTTCTCATGTCTCTGCAACGATTGTCTCGGGCCACTGTGCGCGTGTCTCGAGAACATTCGTTGAGTCGGATTTGAGAGAGCCCGCAAGGGTGCCGCGCTTCTCGTGCCACGAGACGCGGACCAACGCCCTGATTCGGCGACCCGAAGGGTCCGACCCAGGAGGGAAATGCCTGGGGAAGTCTAGGCGCTCACGGTGGAGTGGCACTGGGATGTTTTGTTGCGGAGACTGAGAAATTGGCCCATTTTCAGATAAAATTATTTTGTCTGAAAACCACAAAACGAATTAATTAAAATCCTAAAAATATGTGTTCCTATTATCTGATTTATAATGATTTAATAATTTCTGTATTTTTCATGGACTCCACAAGGAATGTAAAAAAGACCGCAAGGACGAGGGACTGCGAAGTGAATATTGTAATCGCTATAAATTTCATACTTTCACCATTAATATAATTCTTTCAGTTCTATGGCATACGAAGAGGGATCTTGTAAGCTGGACCAAGGACAATTACACACATAAGTGGCTATATTTTTTAAAGTCCATTTCAGTTTTAACTTTCGACTTTTTAAATTCAAAACCGCAGGGGAATCTATATTTTGATGATTCTGATAAGAATCTGAAATGCTTAAAAAGTTTTTCGTTAATATTTAATTCTTGTCGTCGTGGCACGACTGTGGACGCGAAAAGTAAATATGTATTGTCGCCGTCGCGCGACCGAGATTTCTTTTTTTTTAAATTCTTTTTTAGAATTCACCCAATTTCCGAAATAGTGCGACAAAAATTTACGACGATGACCAAAAAATATGTTATAGGCGTACTCCCCGCACTAATACCTCTCCGGTATTTGACATTTGCTATCCAATTGTTCACAGTAACACGACACCAACAATGAATTTTGTGAATGTCCCCGTAAAAAGCGGGATTCCCAATTTTTGAGTCTGTGACTCTTTATAGTGTGATATTTCTTTTGTGGTTTGTATTTATTTCAACATCACTTATTTATTATACAGTGCGTTGCAGAATTATAAGGCCACCCCCAAATTTGAGCTCCGCGCAATGATTTCGATATTTTGAGACCAACCTGTGTGAAAATCGTGTTCAGCATGAAAAATAACCTATATGTCCCAAATTTCATGTTGGTATTTCAAAAAGTAACCGCGCTGTGGTCCAAAACCGTTTTTCGAGCGGTGCAGAATTATAAAGCCACCCCCATGAAATACGTTATAAATTCAAAGATAACAACAGTCTAATGTATGATGGCACCTCCATTCGAGGTTATAACATCGAAAACACAGTCTGGCATAGATTTGAGAAGGTTTTAAACATATTGGGTCGATCTAGATTTGAATTGCTGCTCTAACGTCTTTCACTCGACTACGATTTCGGTTTTGAGCTCTCCAACTCCCCGAATTTCCTTCCTTGGCCATAGAGATGCTATATTAACTCCCCCCACACGTTTTCCGTGGGTTCTCCAAAAAGGAGAACATGCTGGCCAGTCGAGAACGTCCACATTGTGAGACTGAAGTCAGTCCAAAGTAGACCGACTCACATGAATGACCGCATTTTTCTGTTGAAAAAGGACAATAATGACGTCGGAATGGAAAAAGATGGCTGTCAAGATCATTTTGATAGTCCGAAGAGTCCACCTTACTCGTCAGAAAAGCAATTTCCAGAAACCAGGCCGCCGAAAACGCTTCCCCATACCATCACGCTTCCTCCTCTAAAATTGAGTTTTGAAAGCAGGAGGCGATTTTTCCGTAAATTGTGCCAGCAACTGTTATAAACTGTCCACTTGCTTTTGTCAAAGTTTAGCTTCTTCTTGATGTCACTTGTAGACTTCATACTGCTCGAAGCTGCTCGAATCAATGCTCGATTAGCGCGATAGTCCTGTTTTGACTTTTGCGACATGTTTACACGAGTTGAACCCTTCACAAAGATGTCTACGAATGTTTTCGGACCATTTAAATTCTTCGCAACCCGACGGTTCGACCATCCTGCTGTTTTGAATGCAAGAATCTGAGATTGCTCAGAAGCACTAAGACAGCGACCACGTGGCATTTCGAAATGATTCAAAAAGTGAAAAATAAGAACCACTGTAGGTTCTCAAAGCCACACAACAATTTTTAGGCACATTGGTCTCGCCAAAGTTTCAAAAAAATGCGAAAAAGTCCGTTTTATGGGGGTGGCTTTATAATTCTGCACCGCTTGAAAAAACGGTGTTGGACCACAGCACGGTTACTTTTTGAAATACTAACACGAAATTTGGGACGTATAGGTTATTTTTCATGCTAAACACGATTTTCACACTGGTTGGTCTCAAAATATCGAAATCCTTGCGCGGCGCTCAAATTTGGGGGTGGCCTTATAATTCTGCAACGCACTGTATTATTATAACACGCATTGTACCCTTACATTAGCAGAAAAAACGTGCGATTTACCGTGAGTGCATTTCGCATCCGGCACTTTGGAAAATGGATGAAAAGAAATGATAAGAGAATCTGTGGCAGATCAGTTTTTTTCAAACGCAATTTTGATTCATGCTTCATCAGATTTTCATTTGTTTTATTCGCCCCTTTTGAAAAATGACAAAAATTCCCACATGCGGCAGGATATACGGTACCTGAATTACCGCATCGAAAAGGTGTGACTTTCTACAAATATTCAAGATTCGAATTTTTGAAAATAACTCTAACCTCCAAAAATCATTTCAAAGTTAGAAAACTCCTCAAGTCGTACATAGTGACGAATCATCTGTTCAGAGTTGTGGGCTCGAATGTACTAAAAAAAAAGGTAAAACCTGCACTAACTTCCGGTTATCGTGAAATATATATGCCTTCAAAGTTATAGCTCCTCACCCAATGAACATTGTTTTTTGTCGAGCGCCGGTGAATGTGATTCAAAGGGGTAAATGTGAGGAATTCTTCCTTTTTTCAGAAATGGACCTATTCATGCAATGAAAAAAATTTTTTAAAAATTATTTATTTCATTTTCCTAATTTTCAATTTCTTATTGACGCGATATATCGTAATTCTTCGCTAGTTTTTTTAAAGGTGCAAGCAAAAATTTGCACAGCAGAGTGAATGCCCGTCCATGAATTAATCGGTGGAATTTCTGGATTGCGAAGATGAGGCCAAGTGCTTCTTTCTCGATTTGACTGTATTTCCGTCAGCGTCCAGCTTTTTCCGTTCGATAATGCATGCGCTGTGTAAGAACGGTTCCAATTCCATTGGCTGATGCGTCAGCGGCGACTATGAGCGGCAGTGTGGGTTCATAACGCGTGAGCAGGAGGTCAGATGAGATGACGCCCTTAATCCGATCGAAGGCAGCTTGACTTTGTGATGTCCATCTGAAACGACGTCCTTCTAGACGACGACTATTGTATCGGCCCAATTCGAATTGTCGATCTTCGAGGGTACTCCTT